GGGCGGGGCAAGAGATCATTACGGCGAGAGCGTCCGCCGGTCAGCCCGGGGGGGATTTGGACGTGGAGGAGGAGGAGCAGCGGCGGCGGCGTCGGCGAGAGGGGATCAGAGCGGGATCGTGAAATAAGGGACAAGGGTCTAGAGAAGGGAGGCGGGGATCATCGGGGATCATATAAAGCAGAAAGGATGTAGCCGGAAGCTTTTGCCAGAGGGTGATCCCGGGTCACAGGCAGGCGTGGGGATCCGCGCGCGGGGCTAGGAGGGCGAAGAGTGTGAGGATCGCAGCGTGAGACAGGAAGGATCGAGGCGAAGGGAAGTGAGGGGTAGGGGCGGAGCAGGAGGAGGAGCAGGGGACAGGCATCAGCCCTGGCGGTTGCGACGTGCATTACCTCTAAATGTCGTTTGGCCGCGGCAAACCGCGCGATTTCGCGGGGCCGCGGTGCGCGCGGAGCGAGTCGGAAGGTACAGGCGTGGCGGGGCGTGGCGGGGGGAATGGCCCGATCGCAGGCGCAGCGGAGAGGACAATGATCGTGGTCCGCCTGCAGCCCAGTTGTTGTTGGAGCTCTGCCTTCCCTTCCTGCCCCGCCTCATCGTGCCTGCCTGCCTGCTTGTCCGGCCCCGTCCGGCCGCCGCCGCAGCCAAAACGGGGACCACCACCATTACTTTTTATTCGGCAGACGACAGACGGTTTGCAGGTTTAGCGCCTCTGGCCTGCCTGCACAGATTTTTTTTGTTTTTTGTCTGAGGGGAGCGAACGATAAGTTGCTAGGCCTTTTTGTCTACAGAGGGTATTATGCCCCCCCCCCATTTTCTCCGCGCTGATATTGCTCCATGAGCGTCGTGCTGCGGCTTCTGCCGATACCCCGCAGCAGTGTCGTATCTAAACGTAACCGTGACAGAGACAAAAGTGGTACATAGTCGGCCGGGGCACGATACCGGTGCTTGCCGTGTAAAATGTAAATCGTCCGGTGTGCCTGCCCGACACACTGCTACACTCGTAGCCGTTATCTCGAGCCTTGCTCTCAGTGCTGTACCCCCAGCAGAGCCCGGCTCAGCGAGTGTAGTCCTTTATGGCGGAGAGATTACCACGGTCTTACCTCTTGCCTCTCTCGCGCGCGCTTCTCGGTGGCGTGGCCAAGATAGTGCGAGTGCAGCGGGCGGGGCTAGCCTGCGCAGCGAGTGCGAGAGAGAGGGGGGATGAGGCAGACGGGCGCGGGCTCCTCGCACTCTCTTGGGGGAGGGCATAACAACAAAAGGACCCCGCCCCGCCACGCCCCGCGCCATCAGCGCTGGGGCACCCTCGGGGTGTTGTCGGAGCCCCTTATTCGCCCCCCTCTGCTCCCTCCCGCCACTCTCTGCGCTGGACTCGCGTGGACCCTGGCAAATTGCTGTCGCGTGACCAGGGTGTTTCGTTCCTCAAAGAATGAAACCATTTTATGTACTTCAGTGATGTGGCGGTATCGATCGGGTGAGCTTCATTATGGTCAAGAGTAAGTTTCGACGCGGGTTTCAAATGCAGCAGGGCGACACGGTATGGAAGCTGTCTCATGTTGTGCCCCTCGTCCCCGTTTGCCCCGGTTGGGGACTTCCCCTTTAAGGACGCGCCCCTGGTGGCCACGGGCCGGCCCCGGCGGAGCACATGGCACAGGGCCCCGCGCTGATCGATACAGTCACCTGCACTGCGGGGCCTCACTCCCGGGGCCTGCCGCCTGCCGCGCTCTCCGCCGCCGCCTGCCGGCTCGTGATGCGCGAGACTGACGAGGGCCCTTCTTGTTTGTGCTTCCAGGGCGACGAGCAGCAGCAACGGCCACCACCACAACAACAACCAGAATGGCAGACTCCAGGAGGCGCCTCCCCTGGCGGCCGGCCTGGCCAGCGTGGAGGGCCGCACCGCGCCCTCCGTCAGGTGAGCACCGTCTTCCGCACCCGCGTCCACGCGTGCCGTGGCCGTGACGAGCATCAGCGCAGGCCACAGTTACAGCACCCAGAAAAATGGAAAGCTGTGTAGCAACCATCGTTCGGTTACTTTAGGGACAGCTATTTAAAGTGATGGTTGAGACAAACATTAAAATGGCCGTGAGAACTAAAATACTGCTGTATGATTGTTTATTTTGTAACCATATTTTGGTTACTCCAGAGGTAACTCTACAATGTTCGCTAGAGCTCTCCATTTCTCTAGGTTCAGGAAAACGACTCGTGTATACAACGGATTACCCCGCCGATTACTCCCGGATTATCCCCGGATGGCCACAGGCTGTGTCTAGCGGATAACGCAAGTCGTTTTCTCCCCTCGACTTGTGCTACATATACCCCGGATATACCCCACGTTCTGTGTGATTTTCGTGTTGCAGGCAAATCCACCCCGTGTACGGCGAGAAGGCGCAGCTGCTGGCGTACGAGAACGAGCAGGACGCCCTGCTGGGCAGCCGCCTGCAGGGCCTCCAGCACGAGCTCCAGCACGCGGTAGCGGCCAAGGCGGCGGAGCTGCAGCAGCCGCCGCCGCCGCTGCCGCCGCTGCCGCCCCTGCCGCCGCCCGCGCCCCCCTACCTGTCCATCCCGCCGCCCGCGGGGCCGCCGCCGCCGCTACCCCCCGCCTACCCGCTGGCGCCCAACATCTGCGTGGAGGGCGGGCGCATCGAGTTCATCCGCCCCTCGCTAGATGGCGCCGGCGACGACGCGCCGCCCCCGCACCACCACCTCCTCCACCACCACCTCAACCAGCACCAGCAGCAGCACCACGGGCCGCCGCCGATACCCCCGCACGGCCACCGCCGAGCCGGGAGTAGCGGCGGCACCGTGTCGCGCGCCCAGCAGACCGTCGAGGACGACGCGCACTCCGAGGAGAAGTGCGACCTCGCCAAGGTGAGTCTCTTCGCAGCGTTGGGGGGTATCTCCGCGGGGGTGGGCCTGGGCCGCGTCGTGCGGCGCCCGCCCCAGCCCCCTGGAGTGTTTCGCCCCGAGATGTATTAGTCGCCGGCGAGGCAGGACCAGCAGCAGCCCGGCGGCGAACAATCAATCCTCATCCCCAGCGCCCCGCCCCGCCCCGCCCCGCCCCGCGCACAGGTTTGACGAAAGCCTGATGGTGTTCTCGCTCACCTGGGCGGAGGGGTTCATTACCTCCTCGGGGAGACGGCTCGGGGCGCGGCGCTCGTTCCGGTGGTTCATCATCGCCAGGGTGGCCGGCGCCGCCAAAGTTTGCAATATAATAACGAAATGACTGAAAACCGAAGGATGAAAAATGATTCCTGAGGCCGTCTTCTTACAATAAGTACAGATACAAATCGGCCCTTCTTAAACTTAACGAAGAGAACCGTAGTCTCTAAAAAACAACATGAAACGTTTGAAACTGTGTACAACGTCAAAGAGGGGTGTGTGCGAGTGTATCGCAAGCAGGGGAGCTCTGGTGGGGCCTCTTAGCGAGGAAACCGTGTTGTCTTGTTTGGCCAATTTGCGTCCCTGCCAGCCAGCCCTTCAGGGAGGGCTTCGCTTTGGTGCGGCGGCAGCAGCAGCAGCAGGTCTGAATGCAACCTCAGCTGGGCCAGGAAGCTGGAGGGGGAGATGGGGTGGAGGACGGGCAGGACGCGGGTATGACGGCCGGGGCCGGGGCGGCGGCGGGGTCGGATACATGTGACGCGTATTGTACGCGACTCTCCGCCCATCCGCACTCCCCTCCCCTCCCCTCCCCTCTCCTTCCCTCCACCCCCACAACGCCGGGCGCCTCGGTCAGTGACTTGCAGCTCCCTGCAGCACCTCTCCCTGCTCCTGCTACTTTCTGCTCCCCTATTTTAGAGACCATCAAAACCGTTTTGACGCGCCAACCAAAAGCTGTATATTTTCTACCCCAACCTGATTTTGTTTTTTTTTGGTGTGCGCGGGCGGGGCCCTTGCTCGTCCTGTTATCTTGTAAAATATAACCCCATTGCTGGCGGAATATGTCCCTTCCCCTTCCGCGACCCCGCATCAAGTTTGATGTCGAGGGAGTCAGGCGCCAGCGGCCGAAAGGGTCATAATGAATGTGCGAAGAAGGTGGCCGGTCCAGACCGAGGTCCAGACGGGTGGGGAGGCGACCGACCGCCGTGGCTTTGGCGTGCTTTGTTGTGTAGGTGACAGCGACACTTCCTCAGCTCTAACGATCTCACTCTCTCGCTCTCTCGCTCTCTCTCGCTCTCTTCTCTCTCGCTCACTCTCGCTCTCTCTCGCTCTTCTCGCCCTCTTGTTTCCATTTTCCCCTGCCGCGCAAACTCTGCCCGGCGCCGCGGCGCGCGCTCGGCTCACGCTCCACGTAACCAAATTATTCTCCCGCGAACGGAAACTGTAGTTACCCCTGTCAAGCCTTTGATGTCGCCGTCGTACCGAGCCCTCTCTCCCTCTCTCTCCACCTCCCCGCTCCCCTTCGCCGTGTACCGAACTCATCGCCTGGCCCTCCTCAGTCAGATCGCGGGCGGCTGCCTGCCGAGCACTGTGGCGGGGCGGGGCGGGGCGCGGTGTACCGCGAGACCAAACACGCAAACACTCGGCTTGCCACCTCCCTCTATGTTCCCCGTTGAGGCTCAAACACCTATATGTACCCGCCACAAATACGGAATCCATTTGGAAAGCCAGCGCGATCATTTTAAGACAGCGCAGCCCATTTTCACCTGTGGCAAAATCAATGGAATCGACGACGCATAATATATGTTTGTGCCAAAAGGTAACAAAACTATTCTCATTGGTCTGGATGCAAAACTGCTCCGCTCTGTAACCACAATAATAGCATACGCCGTGCATCGCAATCAGTTGAAAATAAATACAATAAATCCCAAAAGGAACTGCGCGAGAGAAAAGAAGAGAGAGGGGCAGATTCATATTGCGATCGCTGTGCGGCGAATATTATTATTGGCGGAGCTGCCAATACGGTTGCGGGGCCCCGGGCCGGGCAGGGCGGGCAGGCCCGCTAACAGGGCCGGGTCCGGGCCGCCACCGCACCGCGGGCAGGGCGCTGTATTGAATCAGGGGCGCGAGGCGCGGGGCGTGGGGCAGGCCGCAGGGGCTGCAGGGGCG